ATATATATTAAAGAATTTACTAGCACTTTTCTTTTGTACAATTTTTTCTGCTACCAGGGATTGAATCTAGGACCTCATGCATGCTGATCAAGATCTCTACCACTGAGCTACCACCCCCGGTGGTCTTTTGTGCTATTTTTAAGAGCAAAATAAAATAAGAAAAATCTAAATTCAGAATTTTAATTCTTTTAAACTTTTCCTCTGAGTATGGGTTGTGTTTCCTGCTTTGAAACACAGCAACTCTGGAGCACCTGGCATACCTGCTGGCAATGCTGCCTTTACTTCCGTCTCCAGTCCTTTATAACTTCCTTAGTTTTCCTTGACCTTCAAACCTCACTCTGCCATTGGTCTGGGTGTCAGTATAGGCACACAGAGGTGATGACATGCAGTAAAATGACTTCTGGTCTCTCTCAATCTCAAGACTTATGGAAAAAGTAGATGTTTGTATATATCAAGATGAAAGCCTATTGATTTTTAAGCCCACTTGTATTCGCTGTTAAAATCGTGGTTTTATGAAAGGAACTATCCAGAAAGGACCAGGAAAGAGCATCAGTGAGACCAGTAAGTGACATTGCTCAGAAAGAGGTTTGGACACACTTTATTAAAGTCTCTTCCTAACAATGGAAAGGGAAGAGCAAGGACTCAGATAGCATCATTAGCTGTGTTCCCTCTTATACCAGATCAATAACAGGACATATAGATTCTTCCTGCGTAGTATCCAGCCAGATGACTGCTAACTTGCCTTTCTTTCTTCTGGTTCTGTGATTTATTGTTACAAAATTCAGCTTGTATCAGTATTCTAGTGAGTCCAACTACAAGGCTTGGAGATACAAGTTATCAGGTAGATAATGCTGTTTTTCTCCAACTGGTGTCTGAGTTTCAAGAAGACCAGCAAATATGGTACAAAATACAGATTTGTTGAGTGTTTAGTACAGTATAACACAACCCAATTAGTGATTGCCTCTATCCTTTCAGTGATAATGAATTGTAGAGTAAGCTAACATCAGATTATGAACTCAAATTCTCACAAATCAGAGTAATCTCTTTACCTAGTACCAGGCTTTGCTAATTTCAAGGATGTAGGCAATCAAAAGACAGACCTGAAACACGGGGAGACCTGGGTATCAAGGACTCCCCACATCACTTCTTCCCACAGTAACTAACAATGCACACCTAGCCCAGAATAAGTTTTCTGCCTAACACTTACAGGATTCCAGACACTTAAAAGAGTATTACAATTATGAAACATCTCTGGTTTATACCTGAGGGTGTTGACTCACTTGTATTACCTTCTCCAGGAAGCCATCCACATCTGAAAGATCCCAGGTTCTAGTTAACATAGATAATCTTAAGCTAGGAACATTCTGTTAAGTGCATTTCACAGATAAGATCTCTTCTGCCCAGCAAATAGCATTTAGCTGTTTTAAGCCAGTGCTGACAGCGGGAGAAAGCTGAGTTACCTCTCTTCACCCACCATCTTTACCTTCAAAATGGTTCCTCCTAGAGGGAGTAAATAGGTTGTTGGTAAATTCTTTTCTTGCATAGAGCTGTCATCTTTCCTGATCTTTGGGGAAGGTGGAAAAAAACAAGCATATTTCTGAGTTTTTTCTAAAAGTATAGATTGCAGTACTTCACGAAATGAAATTTTGTATCATCAACTCTCTGACATGCATAACCTCCAAGGATCATGACTGAGAGGGTAGAAGACTAGCTTAGATCTGTGATAATTTGTGGAGAAAATAAAATTGTGCTCTCCCCTCATATGCCTTAGAGATCCTGATATGTATGCATATTTGAGTCAAGTAATAAAGTACATTACTTTGTAGCAGTGCTAGGGATGAAGCCCAGAGCTTTGTGCATCCTAAGTGAGCCCTCTATCACTGAGCTCCATCCCCAGACAAATAATGGAGTACTGTGAGATTCAGATTTAAAAAATGCTCTTTCACTGAGTTTTTGTTTTGTCTTTAGCCTGAAGATAGTTTAGGAGGCTATATATCCAAAATAGTCTACTCTATAGATATATGTCCACTTTGCCTAGTTTAAACCCTCCATTCCATTTGACATCAGGATTGACATTTAGGAGTTCTTAAGAGTTTGACTAAACTTAGTAATAATTTTATAATGATAATGACTTTATTGCAAATTTGCAAACCAAACAATTTGGCATTTGTTATTGGCCATTTCCAGGGAGTCACATACCCTCCAAGGCCCAATTTATATGACTAAAAGGCTCTAACACTAAGTCCTCCTAACTTAAACGAAGCTTAATTGTGGGCTGCACTCGCCCAGGAAAATCCCTTACTTTTCCAAAGTAAGAACAACTGAACATCAAACGAAGAACTGCTTAGAGTCCAATCGTGAGGAGATCGTGATAAGTACAGGAAAGAATCCTGGGTTTCATTTCAGTTTGGGGATTTTTCTTCTACTTTTTATTTTTAAGGGAAACTTCTAATCTATTATAATGCATAAAATAATCCACATATTAACTGGAGGAATATTTGTATGAACTTGTTTAGATAGTAGCACACCAAAGAGGGAACTTGATAAAAATATCTTTCAATTGTAAAGCAGAAAAACTTGTCTTAAGTCATAAACATACCTGTAAGCTCTTTTGTGAGTGCTATAAATTAAACTGTTTAGTTTTGTTTTAGTGCCAGAAATATACGATCTAAAAACACGACAAAGTTTAATGAGTACTATAAAATAAAATGTTGCATATTGCATTTCTGTACTATGGCTGGTTGAAAAGGAAAGGGAAAAAGTCTCTGACATATAGTTTGTTCAACTTTCCAATTTTGTAGTTTATGATAGTATAAAAGTGATGGACATTCAGTAGAAATGACACTTCAAATATTTTTATTTTGATGTTTTCCTGAACTAGTAATATACAATGTAATACTCTTTCACAATGACTAATGTTAGTATTCTGAGCATATTTAAGGCAGAACAGGCTTAGGCTGTGGTGTTCAGTGTTAGGTGAGTTTAATGCATTGTTTTGGTCTTTTTGAGATAGGGTCTCCCCGTAGCCCAAGGTGGCCTGGAACTCGCTATGTAAATCCAAGTTGGCCTTAATCTTACAGAGATCCACCTGCCTTGATCCTCCCAAGTGCTGGGATTAAAGGGGTGCACCACCACTCCTGGCTTTTGATACATTTTTGACTTACCAGATTTTCAGCTTCAGATGGGTTTTATACAGATACAAACCCATAATAAGTGGGGGAACATTTATACTCTTGTCGTATTCCATTGCTTGTTGACCCTGTTATCACTTTTTAATGACTTTTAAAAAAATACTAACTCTTCTTTTGTTCTTCATCTGTACCTAGTGGAAGCCTCTGCAAACCCCAGCTGGCTATGGGAAGGGTGAGACTTCCTAGGACCTGAGCCTAGAAATAGCCCTACTTTGTTCAAGGATGCCCTCAACTAAAATCTGATTAAGTTACACAGAGAAATTGTATGCATAAGGGCTTCTATAGATTCTCCTCAGAGCTGAATGGAAATAAGGTCAAGAACCGGTTCTACTAGCAGACCCAAAGGTCTGACTCTTTTAGTCAGAATCATTCCAATAGCAATGAGCAGTTTCCTACAGAGCGATCCAGTTTAGCTAACTACAATCAATTGAGATATTAGAAGGCATTTTCATATTTTAAGATTGACTCTAGTGTGTATAGCAATGTTGCTTATGGATTATGTGGAATTCTTTGACTTAGCTCAGAAAATATGTAACATTCTGTTTTTTCAAGAAGCTCATAAGTTTGCTTTTGTCAAGTATTTCCTTAAGCCTCATTGTCTTGTCTGCTCAAATGCAAGAAGTCTATGGGTAGCTAATATGAACGTGGGAGTTATAAACTACAGACATTGTTGGTTTTTAAATATGAACACTTTTTACAGTTTTAGATTTCTCTTATGTTTTACAGCCATTACATGAGACAGATTCTGGAAGCTCTGCGCTACTGTCATGATAACAACATAATTCACAGAGATGTGAAGGTAAGTCATTCTTATCACTAACTTTAATGCTTATGGAGAGAAATTGAGAAAACTGATAATAATCAGAAATTTTTTCTTTAATATAGAGCATCTTAAACTTTATTCGCAAGTAAGAGTTTATTTGCTTTTTATCAGAAAGTCATTGTATTAATAGGAACACTGTAATTTTGGTTTCCTTGTTTCTTTTACTAAAAATTACACACAATATAGTATTTTTCTTCTTTCGCCATTGTGTATGAGAGAAAAAGAAATGACAAATTCAATAAGAAAAAAAAGACTGTTAATAAAAGTTAACCATATACTTACAACTTGATAATGTAGACTAGCCAGCATTATGTTTTCACCTGTGTGCAGATAGGTTTTCTTTTTTCACATTTTGTCTTAATTTTAATGATAAAGAGTATACCTGAATAAAAATCTGATAGCTTGCTTATATTGCATAACAAGTTAATAGAAGATAGATATAATACAAATCATTTTATTATTTATTTTTCTATGATTTTTATTCAGATTTCTGCCTTTCAAATAAAGCTGAAGTATTGTAAACTGCAAAAATAATAAGAGAAATATTAGTGCCAAGATAACAGATCCCTAAAACCAGAAAACATTGATCTGATTAGAATAGCAGGAGAAAATGGCTTTTGAATCAATCATTTTAGTGATATTCACCAGCTTCACCACAGTAACTTTGCAACAGCATTATTCATTTGTGAAGTAGTAAAGTCTATGTCTAAAAAAGAAAGGAGTGATGGAAGAAGTCAGTTCATTCCAGCAAGTTACCTCTTGAGTTCTTGTAAGCATGCCTGTCAGCACAAAATAATTAGAAATAATACTTTAAGACAAGAAGAGACAGTGTAAGGTGTGAAGCAAATTAAAATGGGAACAATGCAAGAAGATTGAACGAAAGGGGTTGGAAAACCTGCTCACTGAAAATTTGTGTTAAAATAATAAAATTTTTAAATGAAAATAGAAATAAAACTCTAGTGGTACAAACTGAGTAATGAACAGTGACTAGGTCAGCTGTCACTGTACTTCCATAAATGGATTTTCTTCATGCTAAAGTGGAACATGGATATAAGCTGTATAAACAGCTCCTATATTTTGATAGTACGCAGTAGTTAGTTTATATCCTATATGTAAAACATATTTTACTTTTATAACTGACTGAATATGTGGGGACTCCATATAATCCAACCCCATGATAGTTTGATGTACAATCCTATACAAATTTTTTTCAAATATTTTTGCTATAAAGCTTTGACCCTACAGTTTTCATAACCAACATCGTGCCATATTTTGTGAGCACCACGTTACCAGAGTACAAGAAGTCCAAGATACCTGAAAAACCTTGAACTGCAGTTATATCTAAATAGGTAGTATTGTTTTAGTAAGGTATTTGTTTGAAATGTCATATGAAGTCTTAAAGTAAAGGATGCCTCCAATCAGGTAAACCGATTTTTCCTGTTCACCACAATGCTGACATCACAGATACCTTTCTTTCTGTGTTCATCTAGTTGTTAAAGAAGTTGAGCAGTAAGACGTCTCGTTTGGCCTACTATTAAACTATTGTACCTCTCTTCTAATGGTATCTCTGATGTTAACTTCAGAGTTTGTATTCCATAGAGACATGGTACCTCAGAAACAGGATTTTCTAATTGTGGGTCCCTCATGAAAGTTCATCATGCCCCACTTGGAGAAGAAACATGCTTCTTCCATCCCTCAAGAGTCTTTTAGCACCAGCAGTAAAACATAAGGCTAGTAGCCACTGTCAAGAATAGTCCTTGAGCCAGTAGGACTAGAAGAAGCACAGGAGCTTCTGCACTAGGAACTTGGGCCCAGAGAGTAAGTGGCAAGGAAGTGCTGAGCAGTCACCCACCCCAGGGCTCTCCCCCCTTGACTCTGCTGCTGCCCAAGCTCACCCCCTCCCTGCCCCTTCTCCTTGGTGCTGTCATGCAGTTTTTAAACACAGCAGAACATCACAATTCTGGGTATAGTATACTTTGTACCCTTAGAATATCAGTAAGATCATTATTCTTTCATTCTGTTCCATCCTAGTGTCAAGCTAATGAGAACTCTAAGTCCCTGTTTCTTCAACAATGTCAAGAAAAACATATAAGCAGGCCAAAAAGGAACCCAGTGGGCCTTCTTACTCATCTCCAGCCTGCTTCCCACGCCTAGATTCATCAGGGAGCCTCTGAGGTCTCTCTAGTCCTGGGCTATACTTCCTTGCTTGGCTGTGTTGTCCTTGACTTCTCTAACCTCCAGCATCCACGGGCATGGTGTTCCATCCTTCCAGACATGTTATTAAAGGCCTGGCTCCTTCAATATATTTTAAATGGATAAGAAAAGTAAAGTTTAATTAAAATTAAAATTTTAACAGAAATTCTTCTAGATAAAAGCTGACGGCAGCATGAGCAATTCCGAAACCATTTAGTAAAATGTAATAATAACAAATAGAAATTGTTAGAGAAATGTATAAAACACCCAATAGTGTAAATTAATTTATGTACATTAATGTACATAATGTACATTAATTTATTATTCGTTTTTTTCAAATGTGAAGATATGAAATTGATACTGTCATTATGCAAACTTAACACTGAACAACCCACTAGATGCATAATATTTTTATTTTTTTAATCTTCAGTTATGCAAAGATAGTAAAAATTGTGGCAAGGGAACAAAGGAAGAATTGTCAAATATAACACCATACTGTATGACTCTTTTGAAGTAATGAATATAAGAAAGTGCATATAAAGCATAATTTTTCTCCTTATATATGCACACATACAAGGCAAGCATCGTACTCTGAAAAATATATACAAGAGAAAACATTAATCTGAAAACAAAATTTGTAAAACAGATTGTTAATTCATGTAACAGCATTGTGTAAAAAGCTGTTTTACTCAACAGACAATTTTATTTTGTGTTAATTGTATTCTTCACAGATTATGTCAATATTATATAACAAATTATGATTGTGTATACTTTTAATATTTTGATTGGCTATGACATTTGATACAATGGCAAGTCAAATCAAACAAAATTCAAAAGTAGTTGTATTTGACCTCATCTTCTAGTTTAGCTTCTGGTTTATATATTCAACGAATATTTGATTGCCTACTTTACACAGAGCACAAGTCTTGAAAGTATCATGGTGTCAGCAGGGAGACTAAGTAGTACATCTTACCTACTCCTGAAGGTAAACATGCATCAACACATACTGACTTGAAACAACAGCTGCTGTCATTTTCTCACTGTTACAATTTGGATAGAGCTGAATGGGGTGCTCACCTGTTACCCAGATCATTGACCAAGGCATCGAGGCTAGTTTCCTCATACGCTTCACTCAGTCTTCTGACATCTCAGCTTAGGTGACTAAGCCCTTGTCATTGTCCCATATTTAACCTCACTCTTTCCATATGGCCCCATCTCCAGAAGGACAGTACCTCAAGGCTCCAAAGAAATGGAAGTCACCAGGCCTGTTGAGGCATAGACCCCAAAACTGGTTCCATGTCACATCTTTTGCATTTGATTGGTTGTATCAGTCATAAAAACTAGTCTGAATTCCAGAGGAAGAAACATAACTCTATCTTTTGTGGTTTAGTGGTGTTTGTCTTGGGGTTTTTTGTTTGTTTATTTCCTGAGACAGGGTCTAATGTTTGCCCCAACTGGTCTTGAACTCGCATGTGCAGCCAAGGATGACCTCTACCTCCCTAAGTACTGGAATTATAGGGATGTAATCCCACTCTGTCATACCAAGCTTAACTGCATCTTCTTATATTTTGGTGTGCTAGAAGTATACAAGGACAAAAGAACTTGTTGGAAATAATCTTTATTTATGGAAAGGCAGACAAATTATTGTGGAAGGTGGTAAGTATCATTAAAAGAGGTCTTAAAGTGGGGTAGTTGTATGGGTACAAGGAGATATTTCACAGAGAAGGAACAGTGTGTGCAAAGACCCAAATGTAGTTTTACATTGAGTCATACTAGATTAGTTTACTTTTCTAAAGGACATATCATGTAATTTTGAGGAAGTACCTAAAAACTTATTGAAGAAGGGAACAGAGAAGTAATTCTCAGACTTCAAATTAACAGAAGAAACTACCAGGCAGAAGCACCATATTTCAGTTGTCAGGGAGACTCAACAGAAAGCATCCATTAGTGCTGAGTGACTTTACCCTTCAATACCTGAAATATAGGCATTTTATGTGGGTAAATGGAATCTTCACATTTAGTTAATTGGCAGTGTTGAATTTGGGTAAGTTTTCTTAAGCTATTCATCCAAAAGATCTTTCTCAAGTACCTTCTGTGTGACAGGCACTGTCCTGAGACCTGGAGCTACACCAGTGAACAAAACAGATGGCCACAAGCCCTCATAGAGCTGGCATTCTAGTTCAAGGAGATAGACAATTAGCAAAAAGAAGTAAACTGATCATTTAGAAAATGAAGGAGACTGCAGAAACAAAAAGCGTGGCCACCAGCCTAGGGAATGCAGAAGGAGCTACAGGTTTAAATAGGGTAGGCAAAGCAGGCCACATTGGGAATTTGGCATGACACCCAAGTAAAGACTTGAAGGACAAGACGAAGTGGGCTGAGATATTTAATAATAAAAGAACATCCAGCGTAGAGGGGCCAAAATATGAACACATGTGGCCTGTTTGAGAAATGGCACAGAAGTTGCTATCGCAGAGGTCAAGTGATCAAAAGCCAGAATGAGACAAGAGATGATCATGCTTAGCTCAGAGCAGAATTGCAGCATTGCAGGCAGTAAAAAGGCAGACTGCAGTTGTATTTTGAAGGTTGTGTCAACAGCATTTCCTAGTACAACTTCAATAACTTACACAAACTTAGATTCAGGCACTTGTTCCAGGGGTGTTCCCACATACTGGTCATTCTAAAGCTTCATAACAATACATTTCACACGATTAGTGATTGAAATTTTCACTTAGTTTATTGTATCATCATTTTTTGCCACTAATGCCGTCTAGCAGTTTTCT